ATTCAATTTAGTATGGAAATGTGCACAAGATATCAATCAGCCCCCAAAGAATCACATGAAGAAGCCGTCAAGTGAATCCTCAGATACCTTGTCGGAACACAGAATTTGGGAATCTGGTATCCAAAGAAGGGAGTAGAATATCTAATGGGATACTCAGATGCAGATCATGGAGGTTATAAGATGGACAGAAAGAGTACCAGTGGACAATGTCAATTCTTCGAAGGATGCCTTGTCTCGTGGTCAAGCAAAAAGCATAATACTGTGGCAATTTCCTCTACAAAATTAGAATATGTTGCCACTACCAGCTGTTGTGCTCAGATTCTATGGTTAAGACAACAACTATAGGAGCTGGGAATCAATCTAAGAGAGATTCCAATCCTGTGTAACAACACGAGTACGATACGCTTATTCAAAAATCCAGTTCATCATGCCCGAACTAAACACATTGATGTTCGACATCATTTCATTCAGGATCATGTTCAAAAGAAAGATGTAAAAGTAGAATTCATTCCTACCAAATATCAAATAGCAGATATTTTCACAAAGGCTCTCGATCAACAGAAATTCAACTACTTTAGAAGAGAATTGGGAATGGTAAATCCCAATGAGTTGTAAGAAATCTCTTATTTGAATCTTTAGATTTAATGTTTTGATGATTAAAAGACTAACTTAAGCATCGGAGTGGATAGAAATTTGTTTTGTAAGAAGCTATGTTTTGTCGAAGAAAAAAAGAGATAAACAAAGTATGGAATGATCGATAAAGACATCAATAATCATATTGCCAGGAAGGGATAATTTATCGATTAACTGATCGATAAATGAAGCATGTGAGGAGAAAGAACGAAGTCAGAAGAAAAATTATCGATAAGCTGATCGATAAGTCAATTATTGATCAACACATCGATCAGGAGCAACAAGGATTTGAGATACTTCGCTCAATTTGGTAAGCATTATCGATAAACTGTTAATCAATCAAATGATCAATAAATCAGACCAGGTACGCATTTCCTTTATTAACTTTTATCGATAACGTGATCAATAATTGTTTGCTCGATAACTTGATCGATAATTGTCTTCAGTGTTCTTGTTTGTTCTTCATATTTATCGAACACGTGATCGATCACTCATTGATCGATAACATGATCAATAGTTTTAGTGCCTATAATGTCTTTGTCTTTGAAAACCCCCCATCACTTATCGAACCCTAACTCAAAAAAACTGTTCCCCTATTCCTACGCAACGGTCCAAAATTCACTATTCCATTAAATTTCCGACCCTTTTCCACTCGAATCCAACCCTGAAGCTCATCGCACTCGTCAAACACTCCCTTAACCGATTAAATCCTCAGAATCCTTCAGTCCAACAAAAAATGGCGAGAGTCAAGCAACCGAATGTTGAGCGTGAAGAAAGCACAGAGAAACAAACTCAATCCAAAGATACTACTCCCTCAGGTACAAAGAAAAGATACATACCGAAAGTAAGGAAAGAATCTTTGAAGAAAAGAGGAGTCCTCAAAATACGAGAAAGTCAGGTCGAAAAGCAACCCACTCCTCAGAGAAGATCTCCCCGGTTAAAATCCAAGCTACTAATGATCACCAAGGAATCTGAAACAGAATCTGATGAGGAAGCTTCAGTTCAGAAATTTGTGGAGGCTACCTTGAGAGTTCCTATCCCCAAGCAAAAGGCCAATAAAGGTGTGTCACGTCAAATTCCTCCCGAATGTATCCCATCTGATTTTTCTGAACTGTTGATTAGGGACCTAGATAGTGATGTAAATTTGGCTAAGTTTAAAACAAATTTTGCAAATCAAAAATTCTGTCCTGTGGTTTCTGTGGATATTGAGAGCCTGAAGAAAAATAAACAAATTAATCTGGATTTGAGTAACCCCCTGGAATACTATTCGAATTGGTTGATTATTAGATGAGAGTATTTGTAATATCCTAAAAAAAAATTCAAAAAAAAAGTAATTGAAAAATAAATAATATAATATAATAATATTTTAATATTTATTAAAAAAATAAAAGTCCAACTTTCCACCGAAATATCGGTGGAAAGTTGGGGGGGGGGGCGGTGGAAAACGTGGGGATTGGGGTTGAAATTCCCCTCCCCCAATAATGGTGTGGGGGTGTTAAATACCCCCCACCATTCATTTCCCCCACGGCAGGCGCAAGAAGGAGCGAGGGAGAGGGAGAGAGAGAAAGAGAGAGAAAGAAAGTGTGTGTGAGCGAGAGAAACATACCGGTGAAGCAGAGGGTAAGCTTTGAAGATATTTTAGGTACATGAAATTATCTCTTTTCATCAAACTTTCTTCATAAATATTTCATATCTATTTTATGCTTCCTAATAGTAGTATTATCATAGTGATTAGAGAAAATTTTGAGACTTATATATGATATAAGTATTGAGTTTTGATAAAACATGACTATAGAAATTTAGAAATAAATAAGTTGTTAATTTTAATCGGTTTAGATTTCTCTATTTGTTGGTTTTTAGTATTTAAATTAATTTTTCTAGTTGAAAAATCTGTTATATACGATTTATATTATATTTTTACCAATTAAATTCAAGTTAAGTAATTTATTTGGATTGTTTGATATATTATTGAAATTTTAATCGGTTTAGTTTTATTTATTGGGTGACTGGAGGTTTTAAAATAATTATTGTAGCTAAAAAATCTATTATTTATAGAAAAATATATATATGGTAGTTGTACCATTAAAGTTTTGATTAGATTATTTAGTTATAAGTATTTGAAGTATTCTTAAATTTTTAAGAGTTTGATTTTGAGGTTTAAACTGAAAAAGAGTGTTTTTAGAATTTTAGAACCTAATAATTTTATATTTGGAAATTGTTGAAAATCCTTTTTATTAAGATAAATAATTTGGAGATGGTAAATAAATAATTTGGGGTTGTTAGAAATTTTAAGTTGTTTCTAAAATACTTAATAATTTTTGGGTTATGAGAGTTGCGGGAATTTAGAGTAAAAATTTAATTAAACTAGAAATTTAAATAATATAGAGAAGTTTAATTAATTTAATTAGTTTATATTAATATGTGGTTATATTAATTGTGTAGATTAATTATTGGGTGAGCAAAGGATTGACCTTGTGGTAATCCTTAATATTGCTTTGGTGAGAGGTAACCACTTTCCACTTGTTATATGTGCTAATATGTTGTTTGTGAGTATTTTGCTATTTTTGGAATAATATTTGATATTTGGAACTCGAGTAGATATGTTATATCTTTTGAGCTATGAAAATTGTCTTGTGGGATTTTTGGAATTGTGATTGAGAAGTTTGGAAAAAGATATATAATTTATATCTTATGGATTATACTGAGAAAAGATTGAGACATTTTTATTGTGAATGATTGGTTGTTATCTGGATTTTGGGATTGAGTCCTATCCTACCACGTGGTAAGGCCGCCATTAGTGCACATTGGTTGGCTTCTTCTTTCGTCCCCCAGAGTGAGGGATAGGCCTTTGTGGCTTCTTATTCGTCCCCCAAAGTGAGGGATAGGCCCATATGTTTGATTGATCTCCTAGAGTGAGGGATAGACTTATATGGCTTGTGTGTTGGCCCCCATAGTGAGGGTTTGGATGATTGAAATTATATTTCTATGGATATATCTATAGTTCTCAAGAATTAATAATTGTCCCACTTGATACCTCACGAGCACGTGTTAGTATGTATGATGAGTTGGAAAGTTGGTTATTGAGGCGTTTGTCTCACCCCGTGGTTTAACGTTTTCAGGCGATAGTTCAGGTGGTGGCCCATCAGGAAAGGCTCCAGAGGCATAGTGTGCTGTTATAGCTTGTATAGCCTCCCTGCTTTTGTTCTATGTGTTGACTTGTTATATATTGCCACATAGGGCTCATCTACTATCATGATGTAAAATAATACTTTTAATTACTACTATCTGGTATGATAGGGCCGTGAGGAAGCCCGAGACATTTTAGACTCTGCGTGTAACGCTCCTTTGAAAGTGTTGACTTTTGACTAATGAGCTCTATAGTTTATATTAAACTGATTTATCAGTTCGTATGGTTGAAAATATAAGTTTGGTTTGGGCTAATGGTTGAATGATATTTCTGGACTTTGGAAGTCCAAGGCCCAAGGTAACGATTGATGTTACTCTTATTATAAGTTTATTTCTTTTAACCATGATAGCGATTTTAAAATTTTAAGGTTTCTTCTTTTCTATCATGGTTAATCATTCAAATAAATTGTTGGATTTAATCTAAAATGGTTTTGAAAGAGCGGTTGTCACAGTATTGTCCTAAGGTGATTAAGAGGTTCTATTGTAATATGGAATCTGTGGAAGAATATGATGAGCAGGGTAATTTGATTAATGATTATCTAAGAGTTAAGCTGAGAGGCCAAACCTTCCACATTTCTAATGCCAAGCTAAATGAACTGCTGAGAACCCAAGATTCTCTAAGAGGAGGTGATATGAATGGCATCAAAGCCTACAAAATTCTGATGCAAAGTAGTGACTACCCTGGTGAACTAAACTTTCCACCTAAGCAAATATGCGATTATTATAGAATAATCCACTATATATATTCGAGAAGCATAATCAACAAATCTGGAAGTTTTACACATCTGACTCAAGATGATTATTTGCTACTGGCCAGGATAATCAGTGGTGAAAAGATCAACATAGGGGATTTGATCTTTAATAAGATGAAGGATTTAGTCCTTAACAAATCCAAGTTTACACCAATTCCCTATCCTCAATTGGCCACTTACATCCTTCAAGCAAATAACATCGCCCCTTTTAAGCCTGAAGAACTTAAGATAAAAGTTCCTACTTTTGGTATCACCCAGCTCAACAAGATGAGAATTCCTATACCCTTCAGACCTTCATAGAAGATAACTCATAAAGATAAAGGGAAGCAACCAGCTGCCAGCAGCTCTAGGCCCCAGGATGAGGCTAAATCCATTACAGCTCCCTCTTATACCTTTAGACCCTCATTTCTGGAGAGATCAATAAGAGAGATGTTCCAAGCAGAACTCAAAGAATTTGAGAGGAGAGTTTACACCACGGCCAAAGACTATGGAGAAGTCTCAGACCGAAAATTTGAAGGCATCACCAAAATTCTGGATCTCTATCACCAAGCCATGGTAGTTTTAGAAAAGGAAGTCTCTCAGAGGTTTGATCATGTTGATAGAGAAATCAAAGAGCTCAAGGGGATGTAGCCTCCCTCTGTAACAATGTCTATGCGCCCAATACCTCTTTCAGTTTTGAGGATTTACTCTCTCACCCACCATCTCCTCCTCACCCTGAGCCTACACCACCTACTTCACCTATACCCACCTCTCCTGTTTCTACCTCACTATCTGTACCCTCTACCTCTCCCACCCTTCCTGCTACCTTAGCTCTTATCACTGTTCCACAGCCAATCCCTTCTTTGCACTTTCCACCCTTCTCTCCACTTTCTCAACTTCCCCTTCTTCCTATTCCACTTCCCATGCCTACTGTTTCTATTCCTTCCCCTTCTGCTGATGCTGACAAAAAGGGGGAGAAGGACTCTTCCTACTTTAGTTTCTTGTTTTTACTATTGTTTATGACAGTTATGTACTTTGTTTTATTTTGACAGTTATGCACCTTGTTTTCTGATATTGTTATGAATTCTGACAGTTCACCTTTGTCAGTTCATTTTTCAATTTTCTCATATGTTGCTTTTCTATCCTACTTTGATCTGTTGAGAGTCCTTGTTGTATTTGTGATTTGATTCCCATTGTTATTTGATGCTATGTAGTTAAAATTCCTCACCTATGTTTTATCATCATAAAAAAGGAGGAGAATGTTAGGATTACGGTTTTGATGATAACAAATTATAGAATATGTGTTTTAGTATGTTGATCGATCACCTGATTGATCAAAGATTTATCAATAACTTGATAGATAATATCTCTGTACAAATAAATAACTTAGCAGAAACTTTGATCAATAACTTGATAGATAATGCATTGATCGATCAATTAATCGATCATTGTTAACTCAGTTATGTGTAAAAGTCTGCAGAAAATTATCAATCAATTGATTGATAATCAAATAATCGAATAACTGTCAGATAATGGGACCCAAGTCTGGTAAGGAATTATCGATCACATAATCGATAAATGGGTCATCGATTAGAAGACAGATAAATGGTAAAGCACTCTACTCACTTTATGTTTTGTCCTAATCACCATTTATCGATCACTTTATCGATCAGTGATTTTTCGATAACGTGATCGAACACTGCTTTATAACCCACTCTATATGCAGGCTACTATCCTAGTGGCTTATCGATCACTTGATCAATCAGTGAATTATCGATCATCGGTATCTTATCTTTAAATCATAGTTTTTTGATCACCTGATCGATAATCCAATTATCGATAATATGATCGATCACTTGTTTACATGTATGTTTTTTTTCTCACATAACGTGATCGATAAATCAGTTCCTTGTCTTTACAGGACTAAATCTCTTTGTTCTATTTTATCGATCACTTGATCGATCATTCCATAATCGATCATCTATTCGATAATTTATACAGTCTGTGTTTTCACTGAGTATATTTTTCTTTATCATTTATCGATAAGGTTATCCATAATCCATTTATTGATAAAGTGTTCGATCATTATTCCTTGAAAATCTATTTCCATATCACTCTATTTATCGATAGCCTAATGAATCAACAAGTGTTTGATCACTTGTTCAATCATGGACTGATCTCAGTAAAACTTTAATCAGTTGCGATGATTCTCAAAATATGTTGTTTATTTTATTCAAGCTTTTTTCAGCCTTCATATTTGTCTTAATTCTCTATTTAAAGAAATTCAGAACCAAAAGAGACCTTGAGCTTCTTTTTCTTTGCATACCTTTATGAAGTCACTGTTTCCTTTTATCGATCATTTGATCGATAAATCAATAATGCATTACTTGATTGATAAAACATAGTTACCTGTGTCAAAAGTTCTCACTCTGAATAATCGATAACTTGATCGATCAACCAGTCATTGATCATTATTTCGATCAAGGATGTCCAGTTATTGTTCAAAACATTTAGGAACTGATTGATTCTACTTTTAAACTATGAATATTCATCTTATTATTTGTTCAGTCTGATCTAAGTCTTACTCTGCAAAGAAAAACATATTGAATTAAAGTACTATTACAGATTACGAAGAAGAACTCAACGGCTCTCCAACAGTTGTTTAAGTAGCCTGTAACCTACCTTGTCAGAAGCATTAATGGCGAAAACCGTTGCAACTGGGAAGACACACAACCAAACTCTCAACGGCTAGAAGCTCTTCTGTCTAATGGTTATTAAACTACCTCAACTATAAAAGGCGCGAAGAAGCATTAAATGAACAGATTGAATACGTGAGCTACCCTCTGCCAATTATTTACTGTTACATTCAATACTCTGTTCTAGCATTTATCGAGCTTCAGTGTTTCTCATTTAATTACTCTGTGAGAGAGTCTGTATCTATCATCGTAAATCATGTTCTGCGTGAAACTCAAGAGTGTAGACTTTTGAGTGGGATTGTAACCTTACGGGTAGTAAGGGTGAGTGATTGAGCGAATCAATTGCTGTAATGAGGCACTAAGAGCCCGATTAATCTTGGAACATAGTTGAATACTCAGAGGTGTTCTGAGGACTAGACGTAGGTCAAGTGGTTAAGACCAAACTAGTATAAATTCTGTGTCCTCTTTCTACGGTGAAATCTCTCTAATTCACACTCTCTGTTTCCATTAGCTTATTGTTTTAAATTCGTAAGATTTTTATAATTCACCCAATTCACCCCCCTCTTAGGTGAGACTACCACTAACAATTCCTTTCCTTTGTCCATGGATGAGCCACTTTCGATTGAGACATAAATTGATGTAGGAGGAATGAAATTTCATAAAAATCTTACTAGCAATTGAACTATAATTCTCATATAAATCAAACAAGTTATAATGTGACATGCTTTAGAACTTCAAGACATCCTCAAATTACACAAAATCACACTTTGCATCACAACAATAGAGGAACATCAATACTTTCACATTAACATATTTCCATGCATTTGGCCAAAACACAAACCAATATCATCAAACCAACAATAATCACAACACAAGTTCATCAATCAAAGCAATTAACATAATCACATTAAACAAGCAAGATAAACATTTAAATTATAATTCAATGCTACCTTTCACACTTGAACAATTCAGTCTCCTTGATGTAACTTTCCTCTTTTTGTTTTCTCTTCACAAAACCTATTGTTTCAAGCATGAATACAAATTACATTAACAACTAAACAACTTCAACACACACTTTAACTTCAACCTACACACTTTCCCCTTTTTCTTTGATTTTTAACAATATTGTTCCTCCTTTGGAATCAATGATCTCTTGGCTCAATCCTACACAATTTTTTATGAGGAATTCAAATATTCAATTAGATATATAAAATTCAAACTTCTTCCTTGTCAAATCACATTGGCTGAACAGGGGTATCTGACTTTCCAAAAATTCCATTCTTGATTCTAATGATTTTAAATACTTCCCTTTAGGATATCCCTATAGAAAAACACATTTTAAACCCACTAGAATCATCAAATCACATCAAAACAAACTGTTGTACCAAGTTCTCCCTTTTGCCGAATTGAACAACATAAACCCTAACTTGGTTTTGTTCCAAAAATAAATCCACACACCGCTTAAATACGCTTATTCCACTTGATATTTAAAGTTTCTATCCTTCCTAATGCATGAAGATTCAGACTAAAAATGGATAGCATTTCATCTTAAGATTTCATGCCAAAAACCCAACCAAAACTAGCTTAGATCTTAGGGATAGCAAGGCTTGAACATACCTTGATGATTTCTTGATCAAAGCTAGCTAATTCCTTGTCCAAACTCCCTCTTAATTTCAATCTAATGGTCAGGTATTCAAAGTGACAGCACCTCCCCTTGATTTTCCAATTTTCCTACTATTTTCTTGTATTTGGGAGGGTATTTATAGACAAAAATTTTCTGTCATTCCCCCTCCATTTGGGTGACCAATATGCCACCTAAAGGGGTTATTTGGTAGCCATCAGGTGCAAGAAGCCTTAAGATCTATCCATGTGGCTTTTCACTAGAATATTCTATGATTATCTCATAAAAATTGGATTTTATTTTAATTAAATGGTAAGGTCCAAAAGCTGCACAAAATTGGGCCTTAATTAGACTCAATGTAGGGTCCACAAATGGTTTAGGCTGGCCTAAAAAGATGGCCCACAACCCGAATCACAATCCCAAACCATCTTGAAACTTTAAATTTTGCTAGGCCTCCAAAAATTCATTTCTCTTTGCGAAAAATCCCTTTTTCATATAAGGATATGAACTAAAAAATTTTAGAATTTTTCTCCACCTCTAACTATTTATTTTGAATTTTCCCCAATTAGGCCTCTATCGGTGTCGTTGTGAGAAAATAAATTTTCTAAAATTAATTCCTGAGCTTTCAAGGCATAAAACCAATTTTATAAATTCAAAAAAATATTTAGATGATTTTTTCATATCTTTCCTAGAATTATTGAGGCCTCTAGCAAATTAAAATAATTATTTTTCTTTGATTTTCTAATATTTTTTTGAAAAGCCTCTGTCTACGAGAAATTCTATAACAATTTATTTTCATAATAATTTCACCTTTTGAGTCTCAACTAAGTTTTCAAAACCTCTAATTTGTATTTTTCCTATTTTTTGGGAATTTTCTAGAATTTTTTCAATTTTTTTCATTTTGCCCTTTCTAGATCGACAATTATGAAAATACCAGCCCAGACCTTATCGGGGTTTCACATCAAAAGTTGTTTCGTCTCTTTGTCTAGTTTCTACATTGATCCTTATCCTAATTTTTAACTTCCTATATCCAGGTGAAATTTCTCAGGATGTGACAGAGTGCCTCCATTAATGCATTATGGTTGGCTTCCAATGCTTCCCCCATGGTGAGGGAATGTCCTCTTTTATTCGTATCCCCCGAAGCGAGGGATTAGCTTAGGTTTATCTTTCAAAGTGAGAGATTAGCCATTTTGGCTCTTGCTCCTCTTATAGTGAGGAAATGTGGTCATTGGGATTACATTCGCATGATAACATTGACATATTATTATGAGACTTGAAAATTGAATTCTAAATCCTGAGAATAGTGACATTGAGATATATGCATAATTACTTATTATTTATAGCTATCCCATTTGACACCTTATGAGCACATATTGGTGTGTATGGTGAATTGGAATATTAGTTACTGAAACTTTTGTCTCACCTCATGGCTTAATCTATCTTCAGGTGAAAGTTCTAGGGGTTCACTGTCAGAGAAGAATCCAGAAGCCTAAGCTTTCACAGCTTCTAGTATTGCCTCTGCTTCTTTTTGTATATGTCGAAGGAATTGTATATTGCCACATAAGGTCCTTATCTTTTGTATACTCTTTATCGATTAGCGATTTGTTTATTTAACTTGTAATGGTCATATTGAACTGTGTTTAAGTATTGGTTGCCGGAGGCCTTAGGATTTTGCATGTGACTTTTGTGGATGAACCGTGATTATTTATAGTATGTGTTACATATTGTTTCA